TACAGAAAAAAGAGGACTGTGATGAGGGAGGAGATGGCGCACAGGTGGAATTCAACCAGGAAGAGCGGTGATGCAGCACAAGAATGCAAATTTTGGAGGAGTGGAGCCGGCAGCGGGCCAGCATGTCCATGCTGATGCGAACCTGAGATAAGTTTGGGAGAGCCGTCGTCGTCGCAGCCTGTGCATCTTGGATCCGCGCACCCAGCCACCAGCAAGGCCGGCCACTGCATTGGCGTGCGCCAATGGCGTGGGGGAGGAAGCATGGCCGCTAGGGGAGACAAAGAGGCGGAGGTGGCGAGGCGGCATGCTGCGCAGAGCTGTTCCTGACCTCGTCACCGGGGACACGCCATGGCTGGGGATGCGACATTGCGCCGCCGCCGCCGCCGAGGCAGGTGCTGGCATGGTCTAGGCCGACACACTGCGGAGGAGGGCCGTGGCACGTGGGGGCCAGAGCGTCGGCCTGTAGGCCGGCGAGACACAAAAGGCGAGGCGAGGAGTGGAGTAGGCAGGAAGAAGTCAGAGCGGGTGAAGATGGGTATGGCGGCGGCGTGTGCCGGGAGCGGAGGAGGTGAGGCGACGGAGGGGGCGAGGATGGGGAGACTACGTGGAGAGGCACCGTGCAGCCAATTTATTTTTTTCGGTCAAAGCGGCGTGGACCCGTTTACAGCACCGTAGGCGGAGGCCAAGACACGAGAACCGGCGGAGCCCGTGGATTGACCAAGCTTTTACCGGCACTCAGCAGTCACGGATGACAGGTGTGATGCAGGCACTGAAAGTTTACACGCGGATGCCCTGGCCATCGTCCAATTTATCCCTCGTCGAAGATCTACTAATTACATGGTACTCATTTTGTGGGGCACACGTACGTAGTATATGATATGATGGCGATGCTACATGTATGCGTGAGCATCTAACTAAGTTCGCGGCGCGTGGAGACGCGCGCCTCCGAGGATGGGCGTGACGGCTCCGAGGCGGAACACGCACAAGCACTGACACTAGGCCAGACCAGATCTGGGCCCTTGAATCATGAGAGAGGGAAAGGAGGCGCGCACACGCACGAGCTCCCGATGCAGCGCGGATGGTGGGCCTGAGGGCATGTCCATCCCGATCGGTAGCAGGAAGCGAGCCCGCAAGGCAGCGGCGAGCAGAGAGGTGGGGACTGGTCGAGCAGAAGACGTGGAGGATACGGGCTGGATCCACCGTATGTGAACAGTAGCAGGATCGCTTTACATTATGTGAACAGTAGCAGGATCGCTGTGGGAGCGCGGATGCTAGGAGCTTTATGGAGTTTAATATGTCCAATGGCCTAATTAATGTCATCATAAGCTTTAAGACTTTAATTATTTTTTAACGAAAGGGAATCGACTGTGCACCGTTTCTATTATCTATAATCCATAACTATTATAATCCTAAACTTCACTAGCTATGTATCTCAAGATGCAAGTTGTCCACCTAACCAAGGCACTATCACATGTAATTAAAACCGACTAGCACAAGCCATTGTAATGGCTACGTCAACAAGACGTACAAGCATTTTGTTGTCCACATCAACAATCCACAAAATCTACTATTCGCAATTCCAGCAACAACACATGAGGTATGCTTGTAGTTAAGAAAGGAGGAGAATACAAATTAGTGATCCTCGGAGATCACAAACAGAAAAGAGGGAGTTAAAACTTTATTTTAAACTTGTTTTAGAAACTTTATTTTTAAAGATGCCTTTTCGTATTATATTTGACTAAATAGACCTCTGTTACTACTCCAGAAAACGCAATCAGTATCAGTCCTAGACCCGGCAGTGATTCAACCTGAGACCTCCATATTCACATTTTCTTGACTGTCCATACTAGTTGAGCTACACAACACTTCTGATTATACAACTGATGCTATTCTTTTAAGGGAGAAGAATATTTTCGGCCATCCAACTATCATCTGAGTTTGGTTTTTTGGTCAACGAACTTGAACACCAAAAATCTTTGAACATCCAACTATTCTTATTGTTCATATTTTCCCATTCGGCTGTTTTGATGGGCAGTTTTGGTGAGGTGTGGTATGAAAAGTTTGAATTCTAAAATGTAAGAACTTCAATTAGAATTTTAGGATAAAAAATATTTCTAATAAAAAGTTGTCAGCTACAAAGTCTACAACTTTGGTTTGGGTCATGTCTCCGTCCGAGTTCATTTGAATACTTCAAATATAATTTGGGAGAGTAAATGATTTTAAATTAAAAAATCATCAACTACAAAATTGTAGATCTCATCGAGATCTACAACTTTAATTGGTCATTTCTCCATCCGAGTTCGTTCGAACAATTTAAAAAGTGAATTTCAAAAATATAAAAACATGAAACATAATATTTTGGGACCATAAATGATTTCGAATGAAGAAAGTCGTCAACTACAAAGTCTACAACTGGTCTTTTCTCCATCCGAGTTTGTTTGAACAATTCAAAAAGTTTAATCAATGAGACATGCGAGCATGACTGCCACTTGTTGTCAAAGTCACAAAACCACCCATGAAAACAGTTGAATAGTAAAAAATAAACGATATCAATAGTTGGACGGTCAAAAGTTTCTAGTTTTCAAATTCAATGGCCACAATCAAACTTGGATGATGGTGGGATGGAAAAAAATGGACTTCTTCCTTTCTTTAACTATATAATTTTAAATCATATATTGTATATTTGACACTATAAATTATTTGAAATGAAAAAGTTGTTAATTATAAATTTATAAATCTCGTCAAGTACTACAACTTTGATGTTGACATTATCTTCAGTCGACATTGTTAATCATCTCAAACCTGATCCGAGGAATTATATTGAATATTTGGACATGTAAACCATCTCAAATTAAAAAGTAATCAACTATAAAGTTTTATATCTTTTTGCATCCTACAATTTCGATACAAAGTCAATCTTGATTTGACCTCATATAAAAAGTTATTATTCTTTCGCGCAAAAGATGTCAGGGGTAGAGCCGGGATTTGGGCATAGGGTGGCCGTTCAAACAGACAACGGCAGCAACCATGCATGATTAGATACATATACAACAAGAGTGTATATAGTAACCGAATAAATATTTGTATTATAATAAAGACAACTTAATTTTATAAAAATAACATAGAATATCATAGAGAAAAAGAAATAAATCTCATTAGCTGGTATCTAACTTTCACCTGATTGATCTAATTCTTCTTCAAGAAAGAAGAATCACCGTAATAACCACTACCGGACACAGGAGCTTTGCCGAGTGCCAGGGACACTCGGCGAAGACCCAAAAACACTCGGCAAAGGGTTTGCCGAGTGTTACACTCGGCAAACGACACTCGGCAAACCATTTAACGGCAAACACTAGTTTGCTAAGTGTTTTTTGTCGGACACTCGGCAAAGACGTTGCCGAGTGCCCAAAAAACACTCGGCAAACTTTTTTTTTCAAAAAAAATAAAAAAAAACAAGCACCGGCCGCCACCACCGGCCGGCCACCACCACCGGCCGCTCCAACGCTCGGCAGCTGCACGGGCCACCACCATCGGTCGCTCCAACCACCGGCGTGCACACGAGGAACTTCCCGCCGACCCGAAGCCAACACCGCCCTCTATCCCCAGCACCGGTGCCGCACGCTGCTGCCGCCACAGGAGCACCGAATCCGGCCACGGGGGCGCTGGATCTACTACCCAAAGCCACGAAGCCGCCTGTCCCGAGCGGCAGCCCCAAACAGCGCCTCACCGGATCTCCACCCGCAGCGCAGTCGCCATCGCGAGGCCTGCAGCGCCGTCCTGATGCGGCCGCCCGCAGTCGCCTCTGGGAGTCGCCGTCGCCAGCCCGGATCCAGCCGCCGGGGCTTCAAATCCAGCCACCCGAGCACCGAAACAGCGGCCCCGACAGGCGTCGCCCCCTCCGGCAGCCTCCCTACGCCTCCACGTGCCAGACCCGCCGCGCCAGGCCGTGGCGCCATCCCGGTCGCCGAGCACCGTCCCCGCACAGAAGAAGGGGCGCTGGGGAAGAAGGAGGGGCGCCGGGGAAGAAAAGGGAGGGGCGCCGGCGGGGGGACCGGGAGGGAAGAAGAAGGAAGGGGGCCGGCCGCCGCCGGCGGCGGTCCGGGAGGGGAGGGGCGCTGCGGAGGGGAGGGTATTTGACGAGATATTTTTTTTTGCCGAGTGTCAGATCTGTTCACTCGACAAAGTTTTTTTTTCCAGAAAAAAGATTATTTATTTCTTTGCCGAGTGTTTCAGATCTGAGCACTCGGGGCAAAGTTTTTTTTTCATTTTTTTCTTCTTCTTCTTTTCCAAAAAAAAATGATTTTATTTCTTTGCCGAGTGTTTTTTTTACACTCGGCAAACCTCATCTTTGCCGAGTGTTTTTTTTTGACACTCGGTAAACCCCCTCTTTGCCGAGTGTTTTTAGCTCAGCACACGGCAAAGAGATTGTTTGCCGAGTGCCCGAAGAAATACACTCGGCAAACATAAAAACACTCGGGAAATTTGAGGATTCCGGCGGTGAACAGTAATAAAGGAAGTAAGGAAGATAACAGTAAGACCAATCCTAAAATAACATACTCCCACCATTCCAAATTATAATACTTTTTGGCTTTTGTACACTATATCCATAGGTGTTAGTCCTAACTCCTAAGTATCAACACGAGTTAGGCCTTCCAAATGCAGCAGAACAATTTTCTGAGACTTTGCATGTGCAATGTCTGTAGTCCATCTGCCAACTACAGTCTGCTGCAGCACATTCAATCTCTGGCCATAATGCGCTATAAGTTTGAGGTGAAACTTTTCTCTTTGTCGTCCATTTTCAGATAACACTAGATAGGAGTAGGAGGAAGGTAGTAGTTTGTCCAAGGCAAGCTTGTCTTCCACTGCACCTTGCCTCTCTGATGGCTCCTATGCGGAATCCATTTGTGAACCTCCCCAGCCGTGCTGTCATCTCTTTGTTCTCCATTTTCACTTCCAGTCATGAAGAGAATTTAATTACAAAAACCTTAGTATTTATCCCAATGGCGGTTGCTGATTCAGCAGCTCATGCGGCGTTGTCAGTGACGGATAACGCCAGCGGTATTGGGATCGCAGAGTTCTACTAGGGCAAGAACATTCTCATCGTAGGTGGAACTGGGTTCCTTGGAAAAGGTGACAAGGAACTGTTTTCTTTCGCGACGTACATTCTTCTTCGTTACAACTCCAACAGCCATCTTCTTGTTTTCATTCATGTTTTTTCGCATCAGTTCTTATAGAGAAGATTTTGAGGATGAGTCCTGACATCGGTAAGATATACGTTGTGGTGAAGGCCAAGGATACTGAAGCGGCTCTGAAGAGGTTGCAAAACGAGGTATCTTTGGTGTTCAGTTGCATACTTGTACACCCCATGTCTTGTTAGTGCCAAACAATATTTCCTGTTCAAAAAAGTGATCTTATGTGCGTGCCATATGGTGCAATTTTTCCTATTTAGTCATTTCAGTAAATTCCTTTCTATATATAGACTCTTTATTAAAATATCTCTAAAAATCTTCGCAACAAAAAAATCTGTAAAAATGAACCCAAAGCTTGGCATGTCACGAGAAAACGTTGAGGATACATAGCTTGGCTTGCTATGTCAGTAAATTGAAGATATGCCACATATATAGGAGGAATGCTCAAATGGACAAGCCGGCTGACATTGAAGCCATCCTTTGGTCAAACTATACCATATGCTGTGCTTTGGAATTCGGCGCAATTTTTTTCTATGCATTGGCAGTATAAATGAGTCACCGTGTCCTATGCATTTGATGTCATGGCGTGAAGGCACGTCGAGGTTACAACCACATGAAGTGCGTTGACTACGTCTTATCCTACCAATCATATCTTAGGGTTTTATCAAGTAATATTTATCCAAATGCAGGTGGTAGACACAGAACTGTTCAAATGCTTGCAAGAAATCCATGGGAAAGACTATCAGAGCTTTGTTGCAAGTAAGTTGGTTCCTGTCAGCGGCGATATCAGGGAGTCCAGTGTAGGAATTGCCACAGAGCTTGCCAATAAGATAGCAGAGGAAGTGGATATTATTGTGAACATTGCGGCGAATACCACTTTCGATGAAAGGTCCGTAATGCTATACACGTCAATATATAGGTCAAAAGAAAAGAGTGAATGTTTGTCACCCCCTAATAACATGTAATCACTAAGTTGCTGCAATACTGATCTTGCAATTGACACAAACACCTTGGGGCCACTTCGCATCATAAGTTTTGCACATCGGTTCAAAAGGCTAAAGCTGTTCTTGCATGTGTCTACAGGTAAGGGTATAGATGGTGTTCTACTGAGTACTGATCGTGTGATGAAAAATGCACATATCGTTGAGCATGTATTGTTTATTTTCTAAATATAAAGCCCACACTGAACGTGTTTGTCGCCAAACAGCATATGTGAATGATCAGAGGCAAGGCGTTGTACTTGGGAGAAACAATATCAAGTAGGTTAGGCTCTTCATCAGATTTTTCAGAACGTAAAGACGCTGTGCTATATATCGAGGCAGAGATAAAGCTGGCTTTTCACTGTAGAAAACAACCCGAGAATTCTGCCTCTTTTCACAAAGAAATGAAAGATTTAGGAACACAGAGGTACGTAAAGAGTATGCATGATGCTTCAGTGATTACTACAGCAACTGCATTATTGTTCAACTGAAATAGAATTAGTTTGTTTTATCTTCGTGTTTGTCGCTGCACATGCTAGGGCAAAACTCCACGGCTGGGAAAATACATACGTGTTCACCAAGGCCATGGGGGAGATGGTCATCAATGCCATGCGAGGACAGATACCAGTGGTGACGATGAGGCCGAGTATCATCGAGAGCACCCTCAAGGACCCCTTCCCAGGTTGGATACAAGGGAATAGGTTAGTCATCAAGTTAGTTAATCTGACGCACGTACGTACTTCTATGTATATTTGATGGTCACTCCATGATTCCATGAGATCTTTGAAAATTAAATCAGGATGATGGATCCCATTATCGTATACTATGGCAATGGCCAGATGAGTTGTTTGCTCGCAGATCCTGACTGTGTTGTCGATGTGGTAAGCTGCTGCTCTCTGTGTTCTTTTTGAGTGTTAAATCCATGAGCGGCCCCTGAACATATCAGGGAGCGTCAGGTCTACGAACTTAATTTGAAAACTCATTTCTACGTTCCTAAACTTGTTAAATGATGTGTACGGGTCTATATGGTCTAGCAATGGATCTGCGGTTAACTATTTTATAAGTTTACGGTGGTGCGGTGCACCACTTTGTAAGTAGCTTCCATGAACTTTGTACATATAACAAGTGGTTTGGACCATGCTGTAGGATGGTTTGCACAAGTGGACAAATAACAAGTGCATATACGGGACTAAAAATTAAAACATCCGTTCCGATTTCTATAGACGTACAAGCATCTTCAAATACAATGTAGATTTTCTGGCAAACTCGCATTTCGTCTTATTATCATCTTATTATTAAGGTTCCTGTTGACATGGTGGTAAACGCAATGATAGCGGCGATGGCGAAGCACGGTGGTCAGACGGCTATGGCGGCAGGGGGCCACGTGTACCATATGACGTCGTCGATGGTGAACCCAGGTACTGAGCGATGTGCTCCTGTTCTTTTACCAGCACTTCTCCAAGTCACCGCTCACCGACAAAGTGGGGCAGCCCATCCTAGTGATGAAGCCAATTTCTACCCTCGGCAGTATAGAGGAGTTTGTCAGGTATGTGCAGTCGGAGGCCCTGCTGCGAGAACGCAACGGGGATCAGATCATCCAAGGCCATTCACTACGGCAAAATTCTCCGAGTGTCGCAGGCTTCCCCGAGTGCCAAAAATCGGACACTTGGCAAAACCAATCTTCCCTGAGTGTTGCACTCGGGGAAGAATAGCACTCGGGGAAGAGAGGCTTTGCCGAGTGCCGCAGAGTGCCTAGCACTCGGTAAAGAGCGGCACTCGGCAAAGGCTCTCTTCCCTGAGTGCAACACTTGGGGAAGAGTGGCACTCGGTGAAAGTAGATTAGATTGTGTGGAATTCTTGGATGAATAGGAAAGGCCCAGAGGGCAGTACATATAGGCGCCTCCCTGGCTAACTATGGAAGCCTAGAATCAGGGGAGGTGGCTATCTTGGGCAGCAATCCTGGGGATGCTACCGATCCTATTCTGAGGGCAGGGCTGACTCAGCCGTCCAAGCCTGGCGTGACAGGCCACGCCAGACATACACACACACGTACATCATATATATCTAACATCCCCCCGTAGTCTGATCGTCGGCCGATCGAACGTTCAGACTGGTCCTAAACTCGGTAAAGACAGAAGAAGGCAGCCCCTTAGTGAAAATGTCGGCGTACTGCGAAGTCGTCGGAACATGGAGGACGCGGACATCACCAGTGGCAACGTGCTCCCGAACGAAGTGCAGATCGATCTCGATGTGCTTGGTTCGCTGATGCTGAACGGGGTTGGAGGACATGTAGATGGCACTGATGTTGTCGCAGTAGACCAAGGCTGTGGCGCCGAGGTCGGCATGCCAGGAGTGGAGGCCGCACATGGCAGTGCGGGCGATGGCAGCGCAGGAGCATCGTCCACCGAAGAGACTCCAGCTGCATGTGGCAGTGCGGGATCAACCACCATGGGGGGCGCACCTGCAGGCAACAGTAGTGGTGTCCGGCCAATAGGCACCGGCAGCACATCAATGGGCTCCAGCAAAAAATCAAACTCATTAGATGAAGGCGCTGATGGCTGCTGCGAGAAGGGGAATGTGGTCTCATCGAACACCACATGCCTAGAGATGATGACACGATTTGTTGAGCGGTCAAGGCAGCGGTATCCCTTGTGATGATCGGAGTAGCCTAGAAAAACGCAAAGAGTGGATCGTGGAGCAAGCTTGTGTGCGGCTGTGGCGGACAAGTTTGGGTAGCAGGTGCAGCCAAACACCCGGAGGTGGGTGTAGGATGGAGGTTGGCCGAACAGGGCCTGGTGGGGGGTGGTGGCGCCCAGGGTCTTAGTAGGTAGACGGTTTAGTAGATGGGTGGCGGTCTGCAGGGCCTCAACCCAATAAGAGGGCGGCATGGAGGCCTGGAAGAGGAGCGAGCGAACGATGTTGTTCACGCTCCGGATCATACGCTCGGCACGGCCATTCTGTGCGGATGTATAGGGGCAGGACATGCGAAGGTGAATGCCGTGAGTGCCAAAAAATGTGCGCGAGCTAGAGTTGTCGAACTCTTTGCCATTGTCGCACTGGACGGCTTTGACCGTGGCCCCAAACTATGTGTGCACAAAGGAGAAGAAGTTAGTGAGAGTCGCAAAAGTGTCGGATTTCAGCCGTAAAGGAAACGTCCATAAATAGTGAGAACAATCATCTAGAATGAGCAAGTAGTATTTATAGCCAGAAACACTAGAAACTGGTGAAGTCCACAAATCACAGTGAATAAGAGCAAAATGGCTAGTAGCTCTAGATGTAGATGACTGAAATGGCAAACGAATATGACGTCCTAGCTGACAAGCATGGCAGATAGACTCGACGTCTTTATTGCTGAAAGGTACAGTGGAGGCGACTCTAGACATGACTTCATGACCGGGATGACCGAGACGACGATGCCACACCGAAGGTGAAGACGTGGCGGCCAGAGCATGGGCAGCAGGAAACCTCAACGGGTATAAGGGCCCGGAACTATTGCACCTGACGATCACCCTCCGAGATGCCAGATCCTTCACAGAGCAACCAGCGGGATCAAATTCAATCGAACAGTTATTATCTGAGGTAAACTGGCGTACAGAAATGAGATTCTTAATAAGTTTAGGTGAAACCAAGACATTATTAAGAGACAAAGAGCCTGAAAGATGAGCTGAGCCAGTGGCCGTGACAGGAAGCAAGGATCCGTCACCGACAATAATATTCGAAGGAAAGGGATACCGCGGTAAAGAAGAATGTGTGAGGATGCTGGAATCAGAAGACATGTGGGAGGTAGCACCTGAGTCGAGGTACCAGTCGTTGCTCTGCGGCTGGTTGAGTGTCATGGTGCTGAACGTCGACGCGAGGGACTGCTGATCCCACGAGGATGGCAGCCCGGTTGGGGGGCCGGAGAAGCCAGGAGGTGGCGCCATCTGGTAGGGCGCCTGCTGCTGTGCCTGGGCCCAGGCAGCCTGCTGCTACGCATGCAGCCAGGCGGCTTGCTGTTGCGCCTGCTGCTGCGCAAGGTGAGCCTAGGGAAGGGGCGGTCTGCTGGGCGGCGGAGCCACAGGGCGAAGGGGTACACCAGGGCGGGCCGGTTCCGGGCCGGGGTACATGTGGATGGTCCCCGTCCAAGGATTCCAGAAGGACGGCCAGGCTCTAGGAGGAGTGTCGCCGGCTCCCTTGGGGCAGAAAGCGTCGCTGGATGTGTTGCTGTTGGTGCCCTTGGAGTCACCCTTGTGACCGCCTTTGTTGTAGCGGCCTTGGCCACCGCGACGACCACGGTCCTCCCAACGCCGGCCGCCCCTGCCTTTGCCGCCACCTCCAGAGTTGTTGCGGCCACTGCTGGGAGGATGGGGCATAGGTGGCCGCGGGGGCTGCTGGGCCCTGGAGGTGTCGCCGTGGAGGGCCGTGGGCAGTGTCGAGGAGGGCAGTGTCATCTCCTCGAGAAGCAGATCGTCTCGTGCCTCGAGGAAGGAGCGAAGAGGCCGGTTACGACGGATGTCGCGACCGGCGGCGGCGAACTTCTCGTTGAGGCCGCCGACGAGGGTGAGGACAAGCAGCTTGTCGTCGATCGGCGTACCAAGGTCGGCGAGGTCATCAGCCATCGTCTTCAGGCGCTTGCAGTAGTCCGTGACACTCAGGTCCCCTTGCTTGAAGTTACGGAACTGAGCGTTGAGGAGGATGGTGTGCGTCTCCTTGTTTCCAAGGAACTGGGTCTCGATGGCAACCCATGTCGCGCGAGCAGAGGCGCCCTTGTCGCCGCGGGTCATGACGATGTCGACGAGCTCGTTGGCAATGGTGCCGTAGAGCCACGAGCGGACGACGCAGTCCATGCGAATCCAATCAGCATGGGGGAGGACAGGGGGCTCACGAAGTACGTGATCCTGCAGCGAGTATTTGCCGACGGTAAGGAGAAATTGCTCGCGCCAATGAGCGTAATTACCAGCGGCGGAGTCGAGGACGACGGGGATGAGAAGGCGGATGTTCTGGACGGCGACCGCCTGGGCATGCAGATGCAGGAGTGTTTGCGCCTCGTGCATAAGCAGGGCGCGGCGGGCATCCAGTGCTGGAGATTCATCGTCGTCCTCGAGCGCGTCTTCTTCGTCGGAGGGGAGAGGCGCCTCCTTGCGCGCGGCCGCAGCACGCTGCAGGGCAGCCCGGATGCGCGCATCGGCCTCGTCTCGTTCCCGCTGGGCTGCAGCGGCCTCCTCCTCGGCAGCTGCAGCGCGGGCTAGAGCAGCGTCGCGCGCCGTCTTGCGGGCAGCACGCTGGCGCTCAGCCTCCGTGGCGTGAGTGGCGTCGGTGCCGGCGTCCGATCCAGCCATAAGGACTGCAGCGCAGGAACGGAGACGCGTCGCGCGGAACGCGCGTGTCGCGCGGAGAGCAGCGCCGGGTATGGCGCGCTAGGCGGAAGAAAAATCGGGATGTACCCGGACTCTTGATACCATGAAAGTAGATTAGATTGTGTGGAATTCTTGGATGAATAGGAAAGGCCCAGAGGGCAGTACATATAGGCGCCTCCCTGGCTAACTATGGAAGCCTAGAATCAGGGGAGGTGGCTATCTTGGGCAGCAATCCTGGGGATGCTACCGATCCTATTCTGAGGGCAGGGCTGACTCAGCCGTCCAAGCCTGGCGTGACAGGCCACGCCAGACATACACACACACGTACATCATATATACCTAACACTCGGCAAAGAAAAATGTTATTTGACGGCCCAGCCCGCCCACGCCGTTAAAACTAAAAAAATTGCTTTGCCGAGTGTCATACCCTGGCACTCGGCAAAGAGGCCGGGTGAAAGGTCCTAATGGCTAGAGGGGGGTGAATAGCCTAATAAAAATTTCTACAACAACACTTAACCAAATGGTTAGACAATTATGAGGCGAAGCTAGTGTTGCGCTAGCCTACTCAACAATGCAAGCCACCTACCACAATTCTAGTTTAGATAGTGTCAGTTCACACAAGAGCAATTACACTACCCTATGTTAGTGTGCTCTCAAAGGCTAACTAAAGAGCCACACGAACCAAGCATGCAAGCTCTCACAACTAGCTACACTAAAGAGCTTGTCAACTAGTTTGCGGTAAAGTAAAGAGAGTGATCAAGAGGGTTATACCGCCGTGTAGATGAATGAACCAATCAATCACGAAGATGAATAACAATGATGACCAATCACCTCGGAATCAATGATGAACAAAATGATTTTTAC